TACATGGCACCCTAGGATTTTTAAGATATCACAGCCCAGTGTGGTCAGTCATTTCTCTATTATGGAAGAGCAATCCGTTCTTTCTTTGCATGATCCATGGGGCCTCTTGGAGGTCATTAGAATAGGTTTGTCTTTGGGTGCCATCAGCTCATCGGATCTTCTCATTTGTTCTCCTAGGTTGCAGAACGAGCTCTCTATAACAGTGATGGCTAACCTTTTTGGTACCAAGTACACAAAGCGTGCATGCACATGCGCAACCCCAAAATGCAATGCAAGCAACCCCCGCACATGCACCCTCCCCCCCCTCACCCATTTTTGGCTTCCAGATTAATGCAGGAGGCTTTCCAGGCCCACAATGAGGTGCGGGGGCACATGCATGCACGCAAACCCCAAAAATGCAGTGCAAGCACCCCCGCACATGGGCCTGCCCACCTCACACATGCATGTCCATGTCCCCTGCATGTGCCCCACCCCCTGCGCTGGTCGGAGGGAGGCTTGTGCACATGCGTGGGGGATCTGGGCTGGGGGGACAGCTGGTGTGCCCATAGAGAGGGCTCTGCACACCACCTGTGACACGCGTGCCATCGGTTCACCATCATGGCTCTATAAAATAGCAATAGCAATAGCAGTTAGACTTATATACCGCTTCATAGGGCTTTTAGCCCTCTCTAAGCGGTTTACAGAGTCAGCATATTGCCCCCAAAGTCTGGGTCCTCATTTCACCCACCTCGGAAGGATGGAAGGCTGAGTCAACCTTGAGCCGGTGAGATTAAAACCGCTGAACTGCAGATAACAGTCAGCTGAAGTGGCCTGCAGTACTGTACCCTAACCACTGCGCCACCTCGGCTCTTAAAATACCAGAGACTGGCCTCCTTTGGAGGTTCTTGAGTAGCCTTCAAAACTCATAAATTGAGCTTTTAATAATATTTTCAAATGTTTTTAATGCAAGTTCTATATTGATGTTAATGTTTTGCTTTAAAATTATTATTTTTTCAATCTTAATCTGTTGCTGGGAAACTATTTCCCTCCTCATAGATAGCAGACTTTTTAAGAATCCCTCAGTTTTTCTCCTGCGTGTGCATAAATAAGAATTGCTTTCTTTTATGCCTAAGATAACAGCTGCATACAATACTAGCCTTGTAGCATAGGCAGTGCTACAAGAAAAAAAGTGGTTTCTGCTAGACAAGAAGCTTTTTCACATATTAATACCCATTTGAATCAATGAAAGGAAGCTTTCCAGTGAAAACTGTAGGATGATGGTTATTCCGCAGGATGCCAACCATCTTTTCGGTCTATGGAGAACAGATGCCGACTTTGACAATAGTCCAGAGGGAATTGATGCAGCTTTCTTCAATTCCACACCCTTGAGCTTTGATGACTTTCTGCTCCCATGATCTTAGCCAGCAACAGCCACACTGGTTGAGGGTGATGGGAGCTAAATTCATATGGGAAGCCCTAAATTGGGGAAGATTACAGTATAGTGTACATCTGTGCACTGATAGGAATTATTAGAAGATACTGGTGGTCTCCCAGTCCATTACTAACTGTGGCTAATCCTGCTTAGCCAACCTTGCCTGTATTTAGAAGCTAAGTTCTGCCACCTGTTGAGACAAGTATTTCATAGTTCCAGCCCAGCTTGGGTTTGCATTCATGTGTTTGTGTGTGTCTTTTCCCCAGTGCTCTAGACTTTTTAAGGTATTGCCTGCTTTGCTGTGTTGAGAGGATTAGGTTGGAAATTTTAGATGAAATAAATTATATACCTCCACGCCCATCGTCTTGCCAGTTGAAAGGACACTAAACAAGATAAAAGCATTTTGCAGATGCTTAGCTGCTAAGCTGGGTGTCCCTTTTGCTGATCTAGGCATGCCCAGACCCTAGAATGGTTTGCTCAAATAGTGTACTATTTGTCATCTCAGTAACATTTGCACACAATAGCCCACCTTCCCTAGACAAATTGGAGCTTGCACAATACTGAACATGTTCAGCTATTTCATTCCCTGGGCAGTGAGACTTCCAGCCCATTCCTGCTTTCAAGTAGCTTTGTTCAAAGTTTTTGCACCAGAAATCCATCTGTTTCTTGTTCTGGTTGTACTTACATAGAAGTAAGTTCTTTGGACTCCAATAATCCCATGGAGGGAAGTGTAGAATTGAGAACTTAGAACTGAGAATAGTCTGAATAGCTATGTACAGGACAGGGCAGTTAGTCTAACACGTGTAACACAATGCAATGCGCCATGTTCACCTGCATATACATGTGTGACACCCCTCCCTGCATGTACACACGACCCGTCCCACATGGGGGGAGGGAGTTTTCACTCTCCCCAGGCTTCAGGAAAGCCTCCAGAACCTGGGGAGGGTGAAAAACGGCCCCAACAGGCCAACCAGAAGTTTTTTCCCCCAAACTTCCAGTTGGTACGGGGAAGGCTGTTTTCGCCCTCCACAGGCTCCGGAGGCTTTCCTGAAGCCTGGGGAGGGTGAAAACGGCCTCACCCGGCTCTCCGAAGGCCTAAAATCAGCTGGTCAGTGCACATATGTGCGCTAGAGCTGATAGCTTCGGGCTGACAGATATGGCTCCGGGTGCCACAGGTTCACCATCACGATCATATAGGATGTTGATATTCACCACTCTCTGGGTACTTGTAAGGGCCAGTCTACTCCAGATACTACTAATAATTCACAATGGCAGAAGAGCAGACCCCTGCTTATTTAGAAAACTAAGCATATTGCCTGAGTAGATTTCTGTTCAATCCTAGTCATTTCAATGGAGATTTAAACTTGTTTTGCATGCTCTAAACCACACTGGAAAGTTGAAAAGTATCTTGGCTTTTTCAAAATAAAACCTCTCCCAGCCTTTATGTAGAGATATTTAAAAAACACCTGTCCAGAGTCTGATTCTTTTGCAGCTCTTTTGAGTCTGGGTCAGTCTAATTTGGTAGAATTAAAAAGAGAGAGAGAGCTTGTGATAGTAAGTGACACTGGAAAGTTGAAAAATGCTCCAGAAAAAGGGGCATGGCAAATGACCGTCATACTGTTATTAAATACATTGAAAGGATCAGGAGGTGAACAACTATGGCAACTTTATGATCTATGGACTCCCAATCCCAGATTTCCTGAGGCAACAGCATGGCTGACCCAGGAATTCTGGGAATGGAAGTCCACAGGTTGTAAAGTTGTCATAGTTTCCCACCCCTGGCTTAGATTGCTATAATAGTCATCAGGAGTCAGGCTCAGCTCAGAACAAACTTTTTAAAAATGCACTGAAAACTAGTTGCTTTGGCTGGATCACATCCACGATCCTGAGCAGGATCTCTCTGGGTAGTACTCTATTGAGTAACACATGTTTTCTTGAATGAGTCAGAACATATTTCATCCTCTGCAGGTTTTTTGGATGCTTCTATTCTCCCTTAGATGGGATTTCTCTGGAGATAAGCATCTGTGCTGCTCCCAAGTTAATGACTGGAGAAAGAAGATGTAAGCAGCTAGAAAAGTGGGGGGGGGGGGAAGAGAAGCTCTACCTTTTGTTTTCATATCAGTTCAGGGCAGGGAGGAGCTTAATGTGCCCAAATATTCTCTAAGGTTTGGGTGGAGGAGAGGAAGCGGCACGCTGCTGAAATTATGAAATTGCTAGCTTCCAGGCATGCTTTTCTAACTGCTTGGATATAGTAAATAAAATGGAAGGATTCAATTTAAGATCCGTTTGTATATTCCTTCTGTTAAAAGCCTTCCCAGGCTGTGTTTGAAAAGTGTTGGTTTAATAGGAAACAGGCTGGAGGGGAGGGCTTGGTTAGCCACACCTCCCATCCTTTTACTGTATATCTTGCCTGGCTGAGAGCAGCATGCTTCCTAACCCCACAACTCCAGAGGACAGATCAATGTGAATTCTCTCATTCACCACTCACTGCAGCGCACTTCCCCATAGCAACCTTTGAATGGCTCGAGTAATAGTCGGTGCTTGGCTTCTGCTGGTGCTCCTCTGCTGCTTAGCCAATGCCCAGGGCTGGAGGAATTGGTTTTGGAAAGGTTCAGAAGAAACCACACTGTCTCCCACAAAAGCTGCCAAGGCTGAAGATGAGACGAGGCAGGACCTTTCCACACCTGCAGCTACCGCAAGCCCAAATGCTTCCTTTGAAAATACTACTGATCCTGAGCCCAGGGGGAAAGCGGGGACCATATTTACCCTGAAGCAACCAGACTTTACTTCAACCGTGCCAGTCCCTGCAGCAGCATCTGCCTCTCAGGAAAAAGGCAGAGAAAGAAATATTACAGGAGTGGGAGTGGAGATCCTCAGCGTGGCTGAAGGCATTCAGAATTTGGTTCAGCTTTTGGATGAAAGGACAACCAACAGGACGGAGAGGACCGAGGTACCTGCCACAACTGGGACCAGCGCATCACCTGCCCCTGTTACAGAACCAGAGAGCATCCAGAACGTTACGGCTAACTTAACGGGTGACATACAGACATCCCTGAAAACGAAGAAGCCAGAGGGGGCAACGAAGCTTGCTCGTCTGTGGAGCAAAGACTTGGCTCTTCTGTGGAACAAGACACACGCCTTCCCGAAGAAACCTGGGAAGCCACGGCAAGGTAGTGCCTCTTTCTCATTTTCACCTGATGGTCATTTCAGGGGCACCCTGTTGGCTTTTCAAGAATCTCCAGAAGCAGGGCAAGAAGTTGCTTTCACTCCCCCAGCAACAAGGGCAACCTGGGGCACTTTCTCAAAAAAACAAGGGATTTTAGCCACTGCAAAAGCTTTGAAATTGCAAGAGTCCCAGGCTAACAGCAGCACCAGCAGCAGCAGTGGCAGCAACAGCAGCTTGCATGCAGGAATGCCGTCCAAGGTGGTGGGTACTTTAGACAGCTGGGTGCTGCCTTATGTTACAAATCCCAGCCAGCCTGTCTCCAAAGGCAGCGGAGCACACCTCAGCTTTAAAAGCCACCCCTTCTTTAAACATTTTGGGATAGGAGTAGCTGGTGCAAAAACAAACCGTTCTAGAGATTCGGTTTCTAAGTCCAGTGCAGCTAACATTATGGATTTCCCCCCTGCCAATAACTCTGACTCTCTTGAGTTTCTACTAACCTACGCTGTGCAACGTAGCAATAGCAGTTCAGGGCTTCCTTCCTTCTTACCTGGATTGTCTCCATCGGCTGGCCGGTGCTTGCCCTTACCGACCAAGTTGTCGTATTGCAACCACCTGGGCACGAAGCATTTCCGAGTGCCGAATTATTTGCACCACAGCAGTGAGGAGGAAGTTTGGGCTGCTTTGCATGAGTGGGAGGGGCTTCTTAAATCTCGGTGTCACCGCTACTTGGAGTGGTTTCTCTGCTTGCTACTGGTACCTGGGTGCAATGCTTCTCTCCCGCTCACCCCACCGCCCTGCCGGGGATTTTGTGAGGCCCTGAAAGATCTGTGTTGGACTCAGTGGAAAGAGGGGCACCTTCCAATATCCTGTGAATCTCTCCCAGAGGAGGATGGTCCATATTCATGTGTATTTGTAAATGTTTCAGCAGGTAATAAGTCAAGGCTAATCATCTCTTTTCCATTCTTTCCCATTGCCAGGTAAGCTCATTTTGTAATAGATCCCAATATGAAAAAAAAGAGCCACTCCCTCTACATGGACACAGGCAAAAGGTCAGAAAAGAAGGAGAAAATAGAGATAGCCACCATTCCTCTCTTCTTGAGAAGAGAGTTAGTGCTGCTAACCAGAAGAGAGATGATGTACAGGCTTTATGGTGCCACAGCCAGCATTGTTTTAATGTGAACTTCTTACTATGTCAGGTTTTCCAAATTGGGGTGCTCTTCTGATGTATAAACATTAGTTCCCCAAATTCCTGGCCAACATTGCCATTGCTGAGAACTCTGGGGTTTGGAAGTCCACAAGAGAGAGGGCATAAAGGTTGGGAAAGACTGCATTCTTCTGTAATAATGATGGATTGCCTGTTAACCAGGAGAAAATTACCACCAGTAGTAAAAGGGGCACCGGGCAAAGAAGGGGGCAGTATTTGGCAAGGCTAGGAAGAGCCATAATTTTCTTTGTCATGGCTAAGGCCAAAACTATTATCTACACCCTTGATTCTGCAGAATAACGGCAAAGCAACACTAACTCACAGGAGAGATCACATGTTTCATTCATTGATTTTGTTTACCTCAGCAACTTTGAGATGTTGCTTTGAGCTGTGCTGGCTGAGGAATTCTGGGAACTGAAGTCCATACATCTCAGGTGCCAAGGTTGAGAAATACTGTGTTGGCTTAATGCATGCTGTTGTTTTGTACACCTCAGACAGTTTTGCCTCCAAAGTATTCAAAGGTTCTAGATGTAATCTTGGGGCTTCAAGTGAGAAATGAACTTATACTGAAAAAGAGATAAGGGGGCAGCATGCTAAGAATTAGGGTTTGTGATTCTTTGGATATGAACATAGAGGAAGAGCTTATGTCCCTCCTCTGATTTGATCAAAGTGAGTCAGGAAACAGTGGACTGCCATTGACAGGATTTTTCCTCTATTGCTTTGCACAGCGGCGCCTTCTTATCGTAAGAATATAGTCATGGAAGAACATATGTGATGATAAGCAGAAAGACTGTTCTTTTAAAATGCTTTGCAAGAAGCAATATGATAAGGCAGTGTTTTTCAACCTTTTTTGTGCAAAGGCACACTTTTTTCATGAAAAAAATCACGTGGCACACCACCATTAGAAAATGTTAAAAAAATTTCACTCTGTGCCTATATTGACTATATATAAGGTGTTTTTCCCATGGCACACCTTACACTATGTCACGGCACACTAGTGTGCCGCGGCACAGTGGTTGAAAAACACTGTGATAAGGCAATCTTATAGGGTTGGAAAGATAGTTGATTGTGTGTCTTCCTCTCTTGAGGAAGAAAAAAGCATGGATGCAGGAATTCTAACAGACAACCAGTGTAATGTAATTTTATTTTTTTAAAATAATAGTGTTATTAAAAATTACAATTGCAACAACAGTGCAATGCAATTTTTAGAATAACACATATGGAACAATTCTTTTATTTTTGTACGCATTTTCAGTTGTAGCATAATGCTTTTCTATTTATCTTTGTTAGAATCACTACTGAAACAGTATTCCAATCCAAACTGTAGTTTAGAATTTCAAAAAATGCTCCCTATTAAACAGGTAAATATTTCCTAAAACCCTTCTTTTCCTAGTCATCTGGCTCTGGGTGTTTCCACATTTCCTATATCTTGGAGTTTCTTTTCACCATGTGCAGAAGCTGTAAGTTTCAGAAAACAAGTTCGTACAAGACAAGAATATTTCTTGGTGTGCCTGTGATATCTCAGATTTCTGCTGGCAAAGACTATTCCACACTCTCTCATAGATTTAGAACTTGGGGGTCATCCAGAACATTTGCTTGGCAGTAGATTGAGGACAGACAAAAAGAAATATTTCATGCAACATGTAATTTAGGATATAGAATCTCTGGTCACAGGATGTTACAATAGCTGCTGGTTGGCTTCAACAGTTTTTTCTTACTGATAAATCTATCCCTCCTAAACCTGTACAATGACAGCTATTCATCCTAATTATATACGGGGCATCCATGTTTAAAACCACTCTTTTGGAGGTAGAAAAGTTTGAGATAGCTTCCCCTTCCCCTGATATTGATAGATATATGTTTTTTTTGGCCCACTCATCAAAGGGAGTTTTGCAAGTTATTGAAACAATGGCAAGACCTGTTTATCAGAGATGAAAGATAGATGACTACACACACTATGATCAAACATTCTTCTTTGAAAAAGTGCTTTCAGTTCTCTGAAAAAGAGAAACTCTTGTCACTGATTAGCAAACTCTGGGGGCAAAAAAAGGGGTGGCTGTTACCATTGTGACTTGCTTGAGATTTCTCAAGAAAGTTTAATTGCCTGGACAATAAGATGAGAGTGATGCTTGTTACAGTCTTCACTCTTGTATGAAAAAAGATGGGTTGTTTGCCCCCCCACTTCAAGTTTAAAAATAATTTGAAGCAAAAATAATACACTTTCTAAACTAAGGAACTTAGTTTAGAAGAAATGTAGAAGAAATGAAGCACATTTCTACATGTGCATGTGTACATACTTGTCTAATTCAGGGACTTCCTAGTGATATAAACTTTAATAGAATTTAAGGGATCATTTTCCCGTTTAAGTACTAACTAAATCCAGAGTGGTTTAACCTCATCAAATTTGTTTGATCCTTTTCCTCCAGGTCATAGTGAAGCCAGATGACATGGCCCCTTAAACTTAGAACAGATAGAGGGTAGATTCCAATCAGGGGTGGGTTCCTGCCAGTTCTAACCTCTTCTATAGAAGAGGTTCCACAAATCTACCATGCCATTTAGAACCNTTTAGTCATCAATGCAACAGCACTGAAAAAAATGACTTACGACTGGTCCTTGCACTTAATTTTGTCATAGCATCTCCACTGCCACCTGATCAAAATCCAAGCGCTTGGCAACCAGCATGTGTTACAAAGGTAGGTTGCAGCGTCCTGGGGTCATGTGACTGCTATTTGCAACCTTCCCAGCCAGCTTCCAACATGTAAAATCAATGGGGGTAAACTGGATATGCCTAACAACGGCCTGATCCTCTTAAAAATTGTGGCAAAAAGTATCATAAAATCAGGCGCAAGTCACTTAACTGCCTTACTTAGCAATGGGAATTCTGATCCCAGTTGTGATGATAGCAATAGCAATAGGACTTAGATTTATATACTATTTCACAGTGCTTTACAACCCTCTCTAAATGGTTCACAGAGCCAGCCTCTTGCCCCCAACAATCTGGGTTCTCATTTTACCGACCTCAGAAGGATGAAAAGATGAGTCAATCTTTTAGCCAGTCGGGATTGACCTCCTGGAGTGAGCAGTAGTTAGCTGCAATCCTGCATTCTAATCACTGTGTCACCATGTCTCTATGATACATCTGTATCCTGAAGCCTTCAAAGCCAAGGAGCAGTACCCAAGTGTTACAAGTGGGCCATGGATTTCCCACTTGTACATAAATGGTATCTGATTCTAGAGACATTGCACTGAACTGGAGACATCCCGAGTAAAAGCTCTGTTGGTTACTTGGCTTCCCTCAGCAAGGATTTTCTCATCATGCTCGATTGCCCTGGAATTAGTAGGGCTTCACAAAGCCTTGAGAAATCATCCAAGCATGGATTGGGTTCCTAAGGCTGGAACAGAATAAGGAAGAGCGAGTTATTTTGGTCTTGCGACTCTTGGACTCTCAAAGCTATTTAAAGATTCTTAATTCCTAACTTCCTGGAAATTTTTATTAATTTTCAATCTAGGCCTCAAAGCTGTGGAATAGAGCTAGAAGGAACCACCTGAACGATTGTACTTCTTTCATAAACTGTAATTAGAAATTAAATTGCATATCTTCATATACCTCTCCATGTGTGGGAATAGTAAATAGCCTGGATACTTGTAAGATGGAGTTAGGCAACCTTCTGCCCTCCAGATGATTTGGACTATGCCCTTCCACCAGCCCTGAGCAACGATGAAGGATTACTGTATGGAAGTGACTCAGAACTGTACAACTCACAAATTACATCTTGGGACAACATAAAGGACATTAAAGTTTGGAGAGAGATCACCAAGATAGTGTTCTCTTTTAAAATAAGGAAAAATTTAGTGACATCAGAAAGGCTAACACATTAATTACATCATACAACTTCATGGACCACAACCCACTTTATCAAATACAGAGTTGGAGCAAGAGCCATTTTGGGGCTGACGCTTATACCTTTAGATGCCAAGAGAATTTGTTCTTGATTCTTCGTATGTTGTGATTTCACTCCTTTTATGTTATCTAATTTACTTTACTTTGCTTATTTGGCTGATGTTTTAAATTTCTATACGATGTATCAGTTTGCATTAATATGTATAACAGGAGGTTTTATGGTACACACAAGTCAAGTTGAATTTAAAGGAGCTCCACAGGCTTTACAGTTGGGGGTGGGGTCCCTGTTTGCTACCCAGGGGAGACTTGGACAACTGGGACAGAGAAATTAGCTCTCCGATGTTCTCACACAGTCTAAAGGTCAAGGCGGTCATGTGAGTTGACCTTTGCTTGTCTGTATGGTAGCTGAATACTGGCAGGCATTATTAGGAAGATAGCTTGCTACTTTGGGAATTCTATTTTGGGGTGGGGGGGTATATAAAAGGGAACAAACATCTGGCGATCTCTTTTGATTGCTCATCTTTTAGGAGCCATTAATCTGCCTGGCGGTGATGGGTGACTCATAACTAACAAGGGTTATCTTTGTTCACAGTGCAGACCCTGATCTGGGGTCAAAGGGGAGGCAGTCCTGGAGCAATGTAGGGTGTCCCTTAGCTCTTTTCCTGTGGGNGTCACATGGCCGGCAAGCCACTCTCACAAAGCAGGCCACACCTACAGAAGAGGTTCTAAAAATTTTGAAACCCACCACTGATTCCAATCCTACACTAACCTGTAATACAGTTTGTAACAGTGTATTATATGAATCTAGTCACTGTGGTTTGGAAACCATAGTTTGCACGTTAGTATGACATATGAATTAAGTTTCAAACTCAGAAAAGAGTCATTTTAAATTACCTCTATTTAAATGAATACATTTTAATTCAACAGTTGTGTGGTTGAGCAAGGTCGTTATCAAGAATAATGTTCTGTAACCCTTCTGAGTTACTCCAAATTCCTATAAAACCACACACACACACACACACACACACACACACACACACACACACACATTAGCCTTGTAATTAAATCAAGACCATAACCATTATTTACTTAAAATAAGCTGTTTTATCAAGAACTGCACACTGAAGGTTGGCTGATGATGAAGGATGTGTATGAACAACTATATTTTACTCTTGCCTGTCACAGTGATTTGTGTATTGCCCTCAGAGGAAGCAGCCAAACTGATAGGAAATCTGCCTTAGAGATAATTTCACTTCAAATTTCTCATTTTTATCTGTGGCCACGCTTCGCTTGAAAAGCCAAGGCCTTTGGGTAAGACCTTCATCTGCCATTTTCTGATTGTATTGCTGATTAGATCATTGAGGATTTATTTGGGTGTTAAATTCATCTGTGGTGTCTCAGATTGGTCTGGCAAGAGCGCAGAGAGGAACAACAAAGACAGTGAAAGGCTTGGAGGTGGAATCCTAGGAAATGCACTTAAAGGAACTTGGGATGTTTAGCTTAAAGAAGAGAAGGCTAAGGGGAGCATGAGAACAGTCTTCCTGTGCATGAAGGAATGTCACAGAGAAGAGGAAAAAGATTTATTCTCCTGAGGGGGGAGAAAAGTATATGTAGGTAGAAGCACTTCAACGAGAGATCCAAACTAGAACTCAGGAGGAATTGTCTGACTGTGACTGTTTCCCAAATCATTGGAGCAATCTGCCTCCTGAAGTAGTGGGTGCTCTATCACTGGAGGTTTTCAAGAAGAGCCTGGCAGCCATTTGTCCTGAAGGCTATGGTGATTCCTGAACTGGGCAGGAGTTGGACTGAAAAACACTCTAAGGTCCTTTCCAATTCTAGGTTTTTATGATTATAATCCCTATTACCATTTAATAGATCCCATCAAAACAGGACACAAACATATGCAAACTCTTCATCAAATAAGAAGTTACAAACTCCAGAGGACAGAGAAGAATCAGGAAAAAAAATTGCAGTGTGGGTAAAGACAGATATTATAAACTTAATGGACTTGCTAGAAATGGATGCTGTGTGTGTGAATTAGGTTACAACTAGCAATTATGGAGTATGAGTTTGGTGTAGTTAAGGCATCAGGTTAGAAACCAGGAGATTGAATTCTTGTCCTGTCTTAGGCACAAAGCCACGTGGGGGACCTTGTGCCAGTCACTCCCTCTCAACCCTAGGAAGGAGGCGATGGCAAACCCTTTGTGAAGAAACTTGCTAAGAAAGCAAGCAGGGACTGGTCCAGGCAGTCACCAAAGATCAGATATGATTGAATAGAAGGTGCAGAAAAAGCAATTAGGAATGAAAAAATAATGGCTAACTGTCCTTTTTAATCAAAGTATCGTGCAATCTTTTGAGACAATTCAAACATCACAGAGAACCTAGCTTAAACGTCTAGGCAATTGTTTACTCTACATGTCTGCAGGACACACCCATCAATAAAGGTCTGGGTATATTGGAAGTTTCTAATGCCTAATTTGTTGCTTTATTTTTGTATTATGAGTGCAAGAGATAATTTCCATCTCCTGCTTTGTCTGCTCTTTCTTCTTGCTCTTCTTTCTATGCTTTCTATGATTGTTTCAAGTGTGTCTTTCAGGCCAGAGATTACTAGCAGTTACGCAGTTCTCTATATTTATCTGCCAAGTACAGGAAGACATTTGTGGCTCAATTTTTTGGGAGACCTTTTGTTTGTCCTCATAATTTTCCAGGGCTCTTTTTTCTTTTCCTTTAATTATAATATCGCATTATTAACAATATTATATCATTTTCCTACATTGATATAAATAGATCATTTAAAATACAGTATTGTTGAAAAAAATACACTCTTTACAATGTTGTTTTCTTGTTAGATCATCCTTATTTTTTCCTAGATGGGAAAGATAAATCTATTTTAATCACAGGCATCTTGTCTATAAGAGCTATTGTTTTCCTGGCTGGGCTTTTTTTTAAAATGTTCTGATGGTGGTGAAACTTGTTTTAAGGGCTTGGGCCACTCTCTGTTGAGAAAAGCACCTCCTGGCAATGTTATTTATGCCCAAGAACCTTTTCCCTCAGGAGGTTATGAATGCACCACCTCCTTTTCAAGGTGGTTTTAAATGCCTTCCCTCCAGGTAAGAGAAGGGCGGTTCCTGGCATTATTATTCCAGGCTGGGAAATATATTTACAGGAAAGGCAGAAGTCCAAATGCCAAAAGAACAATGTGGAGGGGGGGGGCATCTGAGCTTCCTTGGATCTCATCTTCAGAAAAAGGGAGTTGAATTTTTCCACCTCTTCCTTTCCCTTGACAAATAGTGGAGTGGAGGGGCCTGGTCCCATATGCCGAGGCACCCCTCTGTTTCTCTCTGGCTTCTTCTACATAGCCTTTCAAAGCTTAGAGAGAAATGGCTGGAATATAGCAGTCCTGTTTTTCGTGGCTGAGAAGAGGCTCATACTCAGGATCACTGAAGCTCAGGATTTCATGATCTGGTCCCATGCATATGAGACATGCGTGCGGACTGCCATGAGATTTCTGAAGTTTCAGTCCCAAAACATCTGGAGGTTGCCAAGATGGAAATAGCT